AATTTAATTCTTCATATGTTAGCTGACGCTGGGCAGCTTGTACATAATTGAATAAATAAAGTTGTGGCCAGGGAGTTGAGAGGCAGCCAGAGCCTTCATATGCTGCAGAACCTACTTAAGCTTAAATGACTATTTCATGCTTGCTGAAGAGAATGACCATTGGACTTGATCATATGACAGTTGGATATTTGGATGTCCTGAGACCAACTGGATGGTCGATAATAGAACTTCCAAACCTTATAAGTGGGTGGAATCACCAATGAACATGAAACCATATGTGTTGCTCATAGAGGAAAAGTCCACCTGGAGGAGGTACACTACCACCAGATGGAATGGTTTCTAATTACAGGAGTCCTAAACAAGTGGTGAAATGACTGGTGCTCAGGGAGACTGGAACACTTGATGGAAAAGCAGCTTAGTGACTGAAAGGGATGCTTTCAGTGATTCAGTGCTGTAGATATCCAAGTAATCCACAGGGTCAAATTTAAGGCTTGAGACTATGGAGTGAATATATCCTCATAGATGTTTCTTAAAGTGATCCTGAGCAAATATGTGCAGCATAGTGTGTGATAAGATAATTTCTTTCTTGATTTAAAGTTAAGTTTAAGAAATTTGTTGCTTAATTTCCTCATCAAGATCAAGTTTGACTTTTAGCTTCATAGCCACAAGCAGAAGTTGCAATGCAATTGCATATATTTCCAGTCCATAATCAAGGATTCCAAAGACTTATCACTAGGACAGCATCATCTTTACAGCAGTCAGGTTCTGACATAATTGTACATGAAGGTGGCAAATGTTTTGTTTGAATTGGAGACTGCTTGAGGCATGGATGAAGAACTTCATATCCTATTGTGTAACAGTAGAGATAACAGGTTTCTTTCTGGCTGACTGACAGGCAACAGTAGAAGGGCTCATAACAACCTATGGCTGCCAGTGCTCTGATTGATTAAAGTAGCATAGCCTTGTTTGCTTATGGCCAATAACATGGGCCAGAAAAAGTAGCTTGTATGAAGCTAGATAGGTGATGACCATCTCAGTCATGCATGAACTCATGGTTAAAATTTTGGTGGACGCTGGTGTTTTTCAAACGTACTTGTATTTGATAGGAGGATAAGTGAGAAGTGGAAAGATACACTTCTTTTTTATTGTTGGCTGTGCTGTTTCACACAGAATGAAGGTCATTACCTATGAAGTAGGTAGTTATCAGCCAGAACAGCCCAGATAACAGGGAGATGCAGCTCTGAAACAAAACTCGTCAATGCTGATCTGAAATATCCTAGAAGCAGTAGACTACAGGAGAATATGTAGAGGAGGGTGTCACAGTTTCTCCATATGTACAAGTGATTTTTTTGTGGTAGTCCAGGGTATTGCTGTGACCTGCTATAATGATAGAACTGCATTTACCAGGACATTCATTCCTCCAAGTGATGGCTTTGTTCCAGTTTTCATTGAACGCAGGCCTGAGATGGTTTTATTGTCTTGAAATGTTTACATGTTCTACAGTAATTTCTGTACGCTGAATCCGAAAATGATATCAATTTTTCTCCATCACATACAGGTTTTTCACAAAACGTCAAATGTACGTTTACATATGTCAATCATTTTCATTGAAATCGGGTCACATTTTGTGATGCTTGAAATATTGACAACCACTGGCTATAGATTTATCAAAATTAATTGCGACGTGAGAGTTTTATCGATCCTTCTAGAACCCACGAGAAACTGCTAGTATATAAACGGTTAACGTGTCATTTCTGGATAGTATTTGTTTGCTACACTTTAACATTTTTTTTCTTTTCATTGCTATGGCAACAAGAGGTTGTATAAATGACCCAAACATATTCTGTTATATTTGTGGTAAATTTGTTGTAAAGAAACAAAGGCAAAATTTTACAGAATTCATCAAAAAAAGCATATTACGCGTATTTTGGAATACAATTTGGGGCCCAAGACAAATCATGGGCTCCGCACAAAGTTTGTGCCAAAGCATTGAGACAGTGGACTAAAGGTAAGATAAAGTCTTTGCCTTTTGGAATTCCGATGGTCTGGCGTGAGCCTAGAAACCACGGAGATGACTGCTATTTTTTTCTCATGTAACGTGCAAGGCTATAACATTCGAAATAAAAAGGAAATTTCTCATCCGAACCTTCAATCTGCTATAAGATCTGCTGCTCATAAACCTAATGTACCTGTACCTACTCCACCAGAGGATCTTGATACAGTTTCATCTGATTCTGATGTCAATAGAAATTATGATGGGGATTTTTTTCAACCTGAAAAGTCTGGTGAACCACAACTTTTCACACAAGGTGAACTTAATTATTTGGTGAGATATTTGGGCCTTCCATCAAGAACCCAAATTACGAAAATATTGTCAATAACATGCTCGATAAATTCAAAGAGTTGGGTTGTAATATAAGCTTGAAAGTTCATTTCTTACATTAATATGGTGACTATTTCCCAGAAAATCTCGGTGTCGTCAGCCAAGAACAAGAGGAAAGGTTTCATCAAGACATCAGGAAAATGGAGAGGAGGTATCAGGGAAGGTGGAACATCAGCATGATGGCTGATTACTGCTGGTCATTGAAACGAAATGCCCCAGACACAATACATAAAAGAAAGACCACAACACGTAGTTTCGAAACTAAAAGACGTAGATTTCACAATAACCAGAGTGAATGAGGATGTATATTTCTATGACATCATTGTTCTTCCCTTTTCTTCAGTTTGTTTGTATTTTTGTTAAAAAAAATAATAATCAAAATTTTCATTGTAGTAAACC